GTGAGCTCCTTTCTTTTCTCCTGGACTGCGCCCCCCCCCCCCCCAACACCCAGCGCCTGGGATGCTGAACCTGTGAGTAGGAGTTGAAATGGCAGCATTCTTTATGGCTTACGTGTTGAGTGGGAACCGTTTACGATCGTTGCGCACCCTCCTCTGTGTAAGTAAATAGTTCTGGTAATTGCTGCACAGCTATACATTCTTCCATAGCTCAGAGCACAGGTTCTGGAATTCGACTCCACTTGGGTGACCTTGGTCTCCTTAACTGTAGTGTGAAATTAACATTTTACCTCCCTTAGAAGGTTTGGTCTGAGGATTAAGTGAGATATTACGTGCAAATGACTTGAAACAGTCCCTCACACATCCTCGATCTGTAAAGGGAACTAGCTGTGGTTATGGGACCAGCTGGGTATGGGCAAGTGATCTGGGCATCAAGCTATTTTCTAGAAGGGGGACAAGACAGGATTAGGTGGACTTGGGGCTGGTCCATGGTTCTCCGAGGGCCTTCGGTCTGGCTGAAGGCTGATGAAAGGGTGCATGTGTGTTCTGCTGTCGGTCTCCATCGCTGTCCTGCATCCCCCTTATTGGAGAGCAGGCATTGGACCCGGCGCCATGGGGTTTTCAGAGAGGTAGTCCTGTGAGATCTATTTTGCTGAATGTCTGGCAGGGGACAGAGGGGCCACTTGAAAACAAATATGCACCATCGAGCCCCAGACATGTGAACTATTCACAACTCCTCAGAAATCTGTCCTGAGCTACTGGGATGTTTAGAGGTCATCAGTGACGCAAGCCAAGCAGTTATTCTGGGAAGGTGAGCTGAAGTCATTGGCAAGACAGGTAAATGGCGTTGACGTTTCTTTCCTTGTGAATGGTGGCCCAGAATCATATATCTATATCTATATCTATATCTATATCTATATCTATATCTATATCTATATCTATATCTATATATCTATATCTATATCTATATCTATATCTATCTATATCTATATCATCTATATCTATATCTATATCTATATCTATCTATCTATCTATCTATCTATATCAAAGGCTAATATGCAAAGTGTCCCCTCAGGAGTTTGGGAGACTGGGAATTTGATCGCTCGCTCTGATGTGTGCTGACCACCAGGGGCCGGCACAGAACATGGCAGGCAACCAGCAGCGGAGGTGAGGGGGGAGGTGGGAGGCGTGGGGGGAAGAGGGGAGGTGCTGGCGAGTTGGTGGGGTGCTGAGGGAGCGAGGGAAGGAGGAGGCAGGGAGGCGGAGAACCTGATTGGCCCTGATTGCCGGCCAGGCGTAGGGACCCTACCTGTGCACGAATTTCGTGCCCTGGGCCTCTAGTTCACTTATAAGAAGTTCTGTTGTAACGAAAGGATCATGAGATTTGTCGTAAGTGCCACGCGCCCTCTGACCCCTCCATCAGTGACCTGGATGCTTTACGGTCTACAGACCACACGTTCAGCAAAACGTTTTGCAGACCTTGCCATAGTTCTCCACACCCTCCCTTACAGCCCCGGGGTCCGCCAAGTAAACCCTGTAAAACACAAACACGTCCAGTCTTCTCTGATCTCTGCGATAATTCACTTCCAACCTGGGAGCAGTGAAAGGAGGCCCGCAAGGAACAGAATGGAAATCATTACGTTACTTAGCTACAGTTAATGGTATTCATTAAAGATAGACTATTATAGACCCCCAAAGGTACGTAAGTTCAACGACAGTGATACTCAAGTCCTATGCCAAACAAAGGGATTGTAACAGAGAATTTCACTTTCCTGAGGAAGAAGGAGAAGAATGCTCTACCAGTTGTGGGTGCTTTCCGCATGCCCGGCACCGTTTTAAATTATACGAGTCATCTCACTTAATAGCCACCATGAGCCTATAAGGTCAGTAAAATAGAGTCCCCTCGTTACAGGTAGGGAGACAGGCACAGAGAGGTTAGGCAACTTGATCTGAGGTCTCACAGCTGCTAAGTGCCGGGACCAGGATGTGAACAGTGACAGTCTAACCCCGGAGCCTGCGCTCACTGCTTCTCTTCTGTAGAAGAAAAGTTGACTCTAAACAAAGTGATTTAAATTGTCATTTTCCCCTGGAGGTCCATATCAGTGAGAGGAATGTTAGCTTCTAAACATAGGAAAAGGGGAATGGGAGGAGAGGGCTGGGGGGAGGTGGGCAAAGGGGTGGGGTGGGGGACATCTGTAATAGTGTCAACAATACAAATAAAGTAAAAGAACATAGTAAGAATAACAATGAACCCTTTAGAATGACATATATGATGAAAATTAAGTATTTAAAGTCATGTCCACAGAAACTCTTTCCCTTAGAAATACACCCACTGCAGGAGGGGAGTGCGGGCCGCGGCACTCCATCTCACTCACTCCACTGAAATGGCAGTGTGTGTCTCTGTACCCCTTGCAAGGGAACCTGCTACCCTGCAAACCAGTGCCCTTAATTACCTAACAACTCCAGGCAGAGCTGTGGATGTTTCTATAATTTCCTTTCCATGAAGGTCAGCGTCTGTTTACTGCCGCCCTCACCGCAACACGCCATTTCCCTCCGATGGCTCTGCACTCTCCATTTAAGGAGTGGGTATAGTTTATGTTCATGAACGTGACTTTTGGGGACGATTCCCTTCGAGGCCACCAGTCTTCACTTCGCTTTTCTCCGTGCCTCCGTGGACGTGGTGTGCCAGCCCTGCCCTGTCCCGGTGTCTGCCTCCTGCGGTGCCTGCAGCGGGCGGGGGCTATGGACAGGCGGGCGGGGGAGGCGGCTGGCCAGGGCGGGTCTGCGTTTGACAGCTGTGTGAGCAGCAGGCAGCGCGGCTCCAGGTGGTTGTCATCACCGCCGAATCGAACCCTGCACCTTTCCCTCCTCCAGAAAATGGGGATGTAAGGCAGGCGATCGATCTCTGGTGTCTTGCACAGTCCATGCGTGGCCTTCACCTCCTGAGGACGGCACTCAGCGCGCACCGCGTGCCTGTTAGGTCCTCGGGGCTGGAGAGGGGGTGACGAAGGTGGCCGCTGCCCTCCCGGAGCTGACCGTCCCTTCAGAAGGTACCCGCTCAGATGGAGAACTGGACGTTGTGATGTAAAGCAAAAGTACAGGCTGCTGCGAAAGGGCCCGGGCTAGACCGGGAGGGGCTTACAGGAAGTGACATCTGCTTGTGATGTGAAAGGTCACGCTGGGCCAGGAGTCGGGCAGCTCCAGATTCCAGGATCCCTGTTAGCGCCTTTACGTGACACCATCCCCGCCGGCCATGCAGCGGCCTGTGGGCTATCACCCTGGGAATCTGGTTCCTTCTCTTTCACTTCATTGCCTTCCTGATAAGGCAGCCCTCTGGCCTTATCTGAGCTCTGCTCATTTCTTGTACATACAAGGAAACGACTAGTATCTTGTAAATATTGTCATTGCGTGATAAGCCTCAGGACACCGTAGTCCCTCCTGACCCACAGTTTCGCTTTCCAGGGTTCCCGTTACCCGCGGTTAACAGCTGTCTGAAAATATTACATGGAGCATTCCAGAAATAAACCATTCATAAGTTTTAGATTGCATGCCATTCCGAGTAGGGTGGTGAGATCTCACTCCATCCCGCCTGAGAGGTGAATCCTCCTATTGTCCAGGATCCACGCCATAGATCTACCCACCTTAGCCACTTAATGGTTGTGTGTAGGTTATCAGATCCACCACGAGGTAGCTCAGCGCTTTCGTGGCCATTGTTTTACTTAATAGCATCTCATTCACCCACTTCAGCTCATCACCTGGGAGTGTCATCTCACGGCCTCACAAGGAGGAGGAGCACAGTGCTATAAGATACCTTGCGAGAGAGACCACATTCGCATACTTTTATTATAGTATATTGTTACAGTTGTTCCACTTATGGTTGTTAGTCTCTTTGTTGTGCCTAATTTATAAATTAAACTTTCTCGTAGGTATGTGTGTATAGCAAAAAACAAAGAATAGACAGGGTTCGGTACTATCCGCGGTTTCAGGCGTCCGCCGGGGGTCTTGGAAGGTGTCCCTTGTGGATAAGAGGGGACTGCTGTCTACTGAAGCTCTGACATTGGCTGTTAAGATGAGTTCACTCTGGACTTTTGTCACTGGGCTGCCTGTTGCTGCTTCTTAATCCCCCTTAGGTCTCGGACAGGAGTTCATAGTGATGATGGGAATAGTCTGATGCGGAAGGGGCCTGGGCTCTAAAGACTGGGTTCAGTGAGGAGACTGCAGGCTCTGTAATAGGTCAGCCCCGGAGGAAGTGGGCGGCTGAGAACGGGAGCGGGGTGGAGGGAAGGTCCTGGAGGACCAGGGCACGTGGTGAGGGAGGGTGTGAGGGATGAGGCGGGGAGGATGGAAATGGCACGGGTGGAGTTACAGCAGCCTCCGGGAGGTAGGGTGACGGAGGAAAGGGGAAAGGGTCGGCCTGGACAGGGAGCGTGTTGTGAGGGTGATGGATGAGACTCCCGGGTGCGGCAGAGCACCTGCGTGGGAACAGTGCACGGGGGGCGGTACTTGCTGGTACCTCTGTGTTCAGAGTGTCCTGGGGTAAACAGTAGCTCTCGTCTCAAGGATCTCCTGTGAGAGTAAATCCACGGCTGGGGAAGAGTGGGCGAGTTTGCGTCTTGAGGGATAACCTGACGGGGCGAGGGGAGGGCGCACGGAGGAGCAGTGTCAGTGCATCGCACTGATGGCGACGCTGTGCTGTGTGCGTTGGCGTGGCTGTGCCCCGGCCATGCCAGTGGGTCTCTCCAGATGCTTAATGAATTGGCGGTGGTGAGTGGATAGATAGGCTAAGATCTAGGGAAAGGAGGACAGGGACGTGACCTTTGGGTTAGGCTCATCGCAGTCGCTGGCCGGCTAAGAGCTCTTCAGAGGAGAGGATGGAGGATCGCCGTGACAGTCGGGGGGGGGGGGGGGTGGCAGCACCTGCAGACCCCCCTGTGATAGGTGCAGGCAGGAATTGTGGGAGAGAAATTGGACAAGGGCGGCTGGTAGGTTGGGTACAGCCTTTTCCCAAAGAGAGCAGAAGGGAGAGGGAGGGAGAGACACAGGATTTCCTCGGCGGGACGTGCCCGGAGTTGCCCTAATGGACGGCCAGGATTTTTAATGAGGATGAAGAATGGCGTCCGCTGGCAGAGGGGGGAGAGGAATGACACGTGGGTTACCAGGTGCCAGAGGCGTCACGTAGGGAGTCTCCGTGGATGCTCACAACCGCCCGCCCGAGGAGGTGATCGAATGAAATGGCCTCGTGTCACAGGGGGAGAAACAAGCCCGGCCAGGTGAGCGCGTGCCCCTGGAGTCATGGCCAGGAAGCCTGGACGGGGCCAGCCAGGTCTGCAGGGCCTGGGCCGCCTGCCCCTGAGACCCCCCTGGCAGCAGGTGTTAGCTAGAAGTTGGGCTGGAAAGGGCCATCAGGAATTTCGGTTTGGAAGGCAGAGAAAGGGCAGGCGTTGTGGGTGTGAATTCTGGACGGAGAAGCGGCAGTCAGGTTCTGGGCGAAGCCCCGGCGGTGGAGCCCGCGGGTCAGCGGAGAGCAGGGCGAAGGGCCTTCGGGGAAGGAGGCTGGTTCAGGGCAGGCCTGGCAGCTTGGCCCACCTCCCAATGCCGGTGGCTGCCAGGTAACACGCCGCAGAGCCCCGAGCAGAAAGGAATGAGAATCTGAGGTGCTGAAAGCCGTGGAAACTGCTCGTGAAAATGGTGGGAGGCAGAGGAGGGAGCATGAACGATGAGCGGGCTGGCAAAGTCTTCTAGGAAAAGTGGGGGTAGGTCCGAGAGCAGAACTAACCTTTTTTCAAAATGCCTACAACATTTGTCATCTGTTTTCACATTCACAGTCATCCCGGAAAGTAGGCTGCTGGTTTCTCCTTAAGGGACGAGGAGGCCCGAGGCTCCCCGGGGAGCCTGCCCTGCTCAGGTGACAGCTCCTTAGCCACCGGTGGGCTGAGATGCCAGCCCAGGGCCACCTGCCTGCAGGCCAGCCTCCAGGTGGGAAGACCGCCTGGGCACTGCTCTGCCTGCTCCCTGCCCACAGCTTTCCTTCTCCTGAGAAAGACAGGAGGGCGTCAGGTTTTGGACCTGGGACGGGCATCCTGGGAGTCACGACTTTCATTTGTCCAGTATTTGGAGCCACGGCTGGGAGCGTTCACACGTGTAGCTCTTCCCTCCTCCCAGGAGCCCTGTTATATACCTTTTACGGATGCAGGTTCAGAGAGGGTTAGTACTACGATTGAGGTCACACAGCTAATAAGCCAGTGAGACCTGGATTGGCACCCAATCCAGGATATACTGCATCTGCTTAGGTCTTCAGATCAACCCCGGGAAGATGGTGGCTGGTTGGTTGGACAACTGAGGAAACACGCCCGATGCCAGTGGCCAGTCCCAGGCTGTACTAGGCAGGGGAGAGCTCTGCTAGAACCAGGTCTCCCTCTTCTCACCTGGCCCCTTGATGGAAGGGGATGGAAATGACCAGTCACGGCACCCAGGGCCCGGGAGGCGAGGTTTGGGTCACAGACCGTGGAGGGAAGCGCGCCCTTTGGGGTGGTGGCAGGGGTGGTTGCTGGGGCCAGGAGCCTGGCCTGCCTCTCCCCCCTGCCCCCGGGACAGGGGCATGGCATTTGCAGGTCCTTTGTGTTTCCTGGCACTTCTCTCACTGGCTCTTTGCAGTGTGAGCTTCCAGGGCCCTGGAAGGAGGAGGCCTGTGGGGCGGAGCCCAGCTCTGGGCTGATGGGTGCAAGGGAGAGGCGCCACTCTCAGATCCCGGGTGTTCTAGAAGTTGGCATGTGGGACTCAGGAATTTACTTGGAAATGTTTCTCATTTATTTTTATTGCCAAGCAGCATCTACTGCAAATGTGGGAAAAGAGCAAGGAGCCTGCAACTCATCAATCGCCTGCTCCCTTCCTCTGATGTCCCTCCTCATCCCCGTGTCTACCCGCGTGGTTTTATAGGGTTGTAACTGCCGTTTGGATTCGGTGGTCGCCACAACCCGGTAGCCTGCTTTCACAGTAGCCACACCATCATAAACATCTCCATTCTTCATCATCATCATGGTAGCCAGCTGCATGGCATTTCTTTGGGTGGATAAACCTATTCCTCTGTGTTGGGGCACTTAGATGGTTTCTAGCTTTTTACTACTACAGAGAATGCAGTAATTATAACTTTCCTTTAAAAAAGAAATTAGTTCCCTAAGATAAATTCTCAGGAATTCGGGTTCCTGGGTTAAAGAGACTTGAGAACTTTTTCCCCTTTTAGATTGGCCTTTGGAAACTATGAGCAAATCCCTTTAAAGTGACTTTCCTGGGTATTGTTTCTGTAACCAGCAAACTGGCAGTGGGGGCCGGGTATCGTGTCAGGGCTGTGGGAAGCCTCTACCCGCAGCCTGAACCTGTGGGGGCCGGGCTGTATCTGGGAAATGGCCCAGGGCCAGGTCTCACCTGCCTCCGGTTTTCCTGCTGCTGGGGGGGTGGGGGGTGGGGGGGGCGTGGCTTGACTGTCACCTACCTGTCTCCCTCCCAGATGCCCGGGAAGCTTGTTGCTGCCTGAGCATGGAGACCCCGGAGGAGGAGGAGGAGGAGGCGCTGCTCTCATTACCCTCCGGCCCTGCAGGTTGGCGTTGAAGGCTGATAGCTGTTTTCTCCCCTTTTTCCCAGAATCCGTTCCTGTGGATGAGTGGCTCCTTGACTCCCAGGCCCTTTGAGGTGTCAGGAACCCCGCTCCCGCTGGGGAAACTCTCTGCCTCGCGGAGAAACAACACCGGCTCCTTCATCCAGAGCAAGCTGGCCATTGCTATGGATACCGAGTCCACGTACTCTGGATATTCCTACTATTCCGGCCATTCGAAGAAATCCCACAGGCAGGGGTACGTACGCGGTGGATGGCTCCACTTTCCCTTGGTGGGGAGACTGGCCGGGTGCAGGGCTGCGGGTGCCCGTGGCTCAGTCCCTGGTGCGTGAGAAGCCGAGCTTACGGAGCATTTAGCTGGTGTGGGGGAGCATTTAGCTGGTGTGGGGGAGCATTTAGCTGGTGTGGGGGAGCATTTAACTGGTGTGGGGGAGCATTTAACTGGTGTGGGGGAGCATTTAACTGGTGTGGGGGAGCATTTAACTGGTGTGGGGGAGCATTTAGCTGGTGTGGGGGAGCATTTAACTGGTGTGGGGGAGCATTTAGCTGGTGTGGGGGAGCATTTAGCTGGTGTGGGGGAGCATTTAGCTGGTGTGGGGGAGCATTTAACTGGTGTGGGGGAGCATTTAACTGGTGTGGGGGAGCATTTAACTGGTGTGGGGGAACATTTAGCTGGTGTGGGGGAGCATTTAACTGGTGTGGGGGAGCATTTAGCTGGTGTGGGGGAGCATTTAGCTGGTGTGGGGGAACATTTAACTGGTGTGGGGGAGCATTTAGCTGGTGTGGGGGAGCATTTAGCTGGTGTGGGGAGCATTTAGCTGGTGTGGGGGAGCATTTAGCTGGTGTGGGGAGCATTTAACTGGTGTGGGGGAGCATTTAGCTGGTGTGGGGGAGCATTTAGCTGGTGTGGGGGAGCATTTAGCTGGTGTGGGGGAGCATTTAACTGGTGTGGGGCGTAACCACGCCACCGAGTTGCATTTTATTGCTTCCATTACCGCTGATGACCTTAATTTCTCACAATTGATTTTAAACGAGAGTTTCTCTCTGCAGTGGAAATGTTTTCCCATTTCCAAGTCCTTCTCATAGATGACAGTTCTCCACAGCTTTGCCAAGAATGGAAATGAAAATTTGAAAAAAACATGTTAATTTGTTGCTTTGCAGCCAAAGCTGCTGACTCAGGGTCCATTTTGCATTTGACACGAGGCTTGTGCAATGAAGTGGGATTGGCCCAGTGTCCGTTTGGCTTTTGAAATCGCTGTCCTAGGTACTGGGGGCTAACCCCCACTCTGAGCCGATGCGCAGCCATGCACGGCTGTTCACCCACTGAGCCTGCTGTACTGCAGTCCTACTGAGTGTTTGGCATGTCAGGAACGAGGGGATGAAGTTGGCAAAATTACGGTGCTGCCACTTCCTCAGGCTCACCTGTGAAATGGGCATAGCAGGACCCTCCTCACAGCGCTGTGGAGAGGGTTCCATGAGGCTAAGCATTGAACGCAGCACACAGTAGGAGGTCGCTGACCAGTGGCTGCATTAATGCAATGAATGGCCTTGGAATTTAAGCCCCAGTCAAAGGCCACAACTGGCCACCGCCCAGAGGCCCCCCCTGTAGTCCAGCCCTGCGTGGCCTGGGAAGGTGACTGCAGCGGTGCCTCCCTGACTGAGCAGGTCCTCCTACAAGCAGCCAGATGCAGATACACCCGCAGAAAGGTCCGGAAGGACGCTCTTCCGGCCGCCAGGAGTGTCCGCCACAGGGAAGGGGCGGGACACAGACGGTGACTAACAGAAGACTCATGTCTCCGTTATCTTTCTGTACTCATTCGGTCTTTGCCCAGTGTGTCTTTTGCCATTAAAAATATGAATGGAACAAGAGTAAAAGGACGGTTAGCAAAGATTGTTTAACGACATGAAACATGCTCGTGAGGCCATGTTATAAAAAACAAGATTCACAACATTGTGTGTTTTCGTAGCTCTATGTTCTTGTGATAAGATGAATGTTAACGTACTGACCGTGTCCGTCTGTGGGGTTATTAGGGATCTGAATCCGTCTCTGGGATTCTTAGGATCGTGGGGATATTTTTCTTAAACTTGCACAATTTTCTGAGTTTTCATGTATGGCTGTTATAAACCTAAACATTTGGGGGGAAAGTTGCATTGGAGCTCAGTAAGCCTCCCTTGATAACAGTGTCATCACAGACTTTACCCAGTGGGTAAACATATCAAATTAGTTAAAAATATCTACTAGAAACAGCTCTTTCAAAATAGCGCATCTTTGGCCCTGTCTGGAGAAAGCAATTCCTCATCCATGGGCCAAGCTTCCCTTCCCCACACCACAGTGATGGAGCTGGAACTTGGGGTCCCGTGGTGTTCGGAGCTGAATAAGGGGGACGCCTTGCAGCCTTCTGAGGAGGGACCGTCTCCAGTGTCCTTTATCTACACGCGTGTCCTGACTGTCATGCATCAGGGCCCCTGCTCTGCTGTGTCCTGAGGCCTCTTGGGGCCCCAGGAATTGATCCAGGATCGCCATGCCCGCGCGAAAAATTAAAAGACTGTAACTTCGCGTGGAAAGAGCACGTAGGACCCTCAGTACCTCTAGGACTCACGTGGAAAGTACTTCGCAAACGATGATATAAGCTGACGCGTTTAATGAATTAATCAGGGGATGTTACCGAGCGCCTGCTCTGGGAAAGCTGCGGGGAAGGGTTGGCCATTAAAGATTTATGGGTCACTCTGGCTCTTTATTTAGAATGAGCATCGCCCACCTGTGGTGGCTCTCTGCCTGAGGGCCCGTGGGGCGCGTCACTGTGGAGCAGGCGACAGCCGGTGAGGCCATAACAGCACCCTCCACGGCTGTGCCAGCCGGCCCCGGGGCCAGCCGAGAGACCGCCACCCGGCAGTGTCCCTGCGCAGGCCGCCCTGCTCAGGACTCCAGGGGAATGGGATGGAAGCGGAGGAGAGGGGCAGGCCTTGCTCTCGGGGTAATTTTACTAGACCTTCCACCGGAGAGGAATAGTCAGTGTGCCAAACTTGGGGTGCATGGGGACACCATGGTCATCTGGGGAGGGTTCCAAGCAGACGACAGGTGATTCTTTTCTAGCAAAGAGGTCAGTGCACTGGTTTTGCGATGTCTGCCCTCTCTAGAGGGTGTCAGTTAACTTGCTGGGAAAACGGGGTGGGTCGACCTCGCCAAACCTTTGGGTTCAGAGCCCCAGTTCCCTGAGTTCAGTACAGCAGCGGCCGGCCTTGTTCAGGACCACTTGCAGAGTGCCCGCTAGGACATCGGTCCTCACCCCGCATCCTCACAGCCCTCCCAGCACCGTGGGCAGTGGCACCCTCATCCCCCAGGTGGTAAGACTGAGGCCCAGAGGCACCACGATTTGTCTGAGGTTACAAGGCTAGTGGGTGCTGTAGGCAGGCTCAGGCCCACTAGTTGGCCCTTTGGAAGCCCATGCTCTCCCCTGGGCTGTGCAGGAATAACTGGCAGGGAAAAAAAGAAAAGGAAATGAAGGGTAACTCATGTGACTGATACGCTAAAACGCATTGTCCAGAGGAGGGCTGTGGAGCGGTGGGGGACGGGTGGCTTTGTTCCCAGGCCGCAGAGTCAGTGGGAGAGGAAGCAGCCGGGCCCCAGCCGGCAGCGGACAGAAAGGGCAGCTAGTGGGTGGTGGTGGAGAAGGAAAGGGAGGAGTACCCGGTGGGGCCGGCTTTCCCCAAATAGAAAGACAAACAGCAGACACTGCGCCAAATCATCTTCCCAGGAAATGCCGACTGAGTGGGACCCGGGGGGGACTCGCCAGGGATTCCGGCTGGGGGGCCAGGGGTTTGCAGCGGCCGCCAAGGGCTCAGCTCCAGGAGCGCCTCAGTAGGTGCGTTTACACACGCGCAGGCACAGGCACATGTCGGGCCGCTGCGTGCCCTTGCCTGCTCCGCCCGCCCCTCGCGCGCGCACGTGCACAGATGCGCTTATCTTGACTCACACAGGCAGCTGTCGCATGGAAACAGACTCGGCGATAAAGACACCAGATGCCTGTGTGACACCCCTGCTCGGCAAAGGCAGGCACACAGGTGACCCGGCCCGCCCCGGCGGAGCTGCCAACACCCCAGGGGGCACGCGTTTCTCTCAGGGGTTTGGTTGCCTTACTCCCCGTCTCCTGTTTGCATCCCCTGATGGTCCTCACTGGGAGCCCCGCCCAGGGGGCACTGGGCACTTTCCTGGAGGTGGGGCATTGGGCGCTGTTGGGACGGGCGTCCCGGGCCTGTGGCGTTGAGGCAGCCGCGCTGTGGCTTGCAGCTCTGTAAGGGAAGCGCTGGCCGGTGTTGGACTTTGCTCTTTAGCACCGGCTCAGAGACCCTCCCGGAGCAGGCTTTCAGGACCCTGCTTTCCCTAAAAGCCGTAGGGCAGTTCTTGCTCCCTTAATACAAGGACGGCACAACTCGGCCCGTGCTGAGCTGCTAGGACGATCTTCACACTCATTTGACTGTGCAGAGGAAGCTCTCGCCCTGCGTCCCTCTGTCCCATGCCCGCTGTCCTGTGTCCCTCTGTCCCATGCCCGCTGTCCTGTGTCCCTCTGTCCCATGCCCGCTGTCCTGTGTCCCTCTGTCCCATGCCCGCTGCCCTGTGTTCCTCTGTCCCATGCCCGCTGTCCTGTGTCCCTCTGTCCCATGCCCGCTGTCCTGTGTCCCTCTGTCCCATGCCCGCTGCCCTGTGTCCCTCTGTCCCATGCCCGCTGTCCTGTGTCCCTCTGTCCCCAGCCCGCTGGCCTGCGTCCCTCTGTCCCATGCCCGCTGTCCTGTGTCCCTCTGTCCCATGCCCGCTGCCCTGTGTTCCTCTGTCTCATGCATGCTGTCCTGCGTCCCTCTGTCCCATGCCCGCTGTCCTGTGTCCCTCTGTCCCACACACGCTGCCCTGAGCCCTCCTCCCAGCCGCCTCCACCTAGTGCTGGTTTAATAAAGCAGCCGCTGGACATTGGGACATCGGACAGCTGAGCGTCACACCCATGAGTGAGCCCCTGCTGTATACAGGACACTTCCCGGACAGGCCGACTTCCAAGCAGCTAGTCCAACAGTCCCTTCCCCAGGGGCAGGTGGTGGGAGAGCCTTGGGGACCGGTTCCTGGGTCACCTGGGGCGTTGGTGGAAAATGCAGTTCCTGTTGTCTCCCTTCCAGAGGAATCCTCTGAGGGTGGCGCCAGCGAGTCTGCACCCACACCCGCACCCCGCGGCTTCTCTGCACTGGGTTCTGAGAAGCGCTGGTCTGGGGTTTCTGCTCTGGGGATGAGAAACCCTCCTGGGTGATCAGATGGCTCTTCTCTGGCTTCCCCCGATGGGGCCAGAGGAGCTGAGGCCGCCGCGTCTCTATGGGTGCTGTGGGCCTTCACAAGTCAGGCTGGGTGGGTGCGGTTGGAGTGATGGTGGGCCCCTGGGAGGCTGTTGCCAGCCTGCTGGTTCCCCACCTGCTGTCTGCCTGGGGCAGCCGCACTCGGTGGAAGAATGCTGCTTCCGCTGGAATCTGTGCCGTCGCAGGATTTGACCCATGGGACTGGCGACGAGGTGGATGGGTGAGGCCGGCATGTGACGTGGCTGATGGCAGAGAGAGCGACAGAGATGAGAGCGGGTGGGGAAAGGGAACAAGAGTGAAATCGGACAGGAGGCTCCTGGTCGGGCCTGGAGGCGGGGGACCCTGGGAGCAGTGGTTCTAGACTTCGCTCGAGCAGTTAACTCTGGCAGGTGGGGGTCTCCCCGGTTGTTTGTGGTTCTCACAGTGAGTCCTTTGCAAGTGATTGTTTTGGGCAGAGTGTTGGCCACCCACTCCGCGTTGTGCTGTCCTAGGCCACAGCCCAGTCGTGACTCCTAGCAGTAGCTTCAGAGGCATATTCACAGCTGTGTTAGTTCCTCAGGGATAGGGTGAGGGGATGGGCAGTAGGAATGTTCATGCTGCAAAATCTCCTAAAGGCTTCTCAGATCAGTGCAGCATAGTGGGTATCAGTGGAGGCAGGGAGCAGGCCTGGGTTCCGATCCCCCTCTGCCACGGACTGTGACTTGGGGAAGTCACTTCAACTCTTTGAGCCTCAGTTTCCTCGTCTGTAAAATGGGGATAGTAATACTGGCCTCAAGGTTATTGTTGGGGTAGAATGACATTAATACAATCATGCACTCAGTAAAGTGCTCTAAGAAGTGGGGTGGGCGTGGATCGGAGTGATTGGCAGTGACCTCTCAGATCTCTGGGCTATTTTCCCGGTTGCCTGGCTGACGTGAGCCGAGTTGACCAGACACATCTATTGCTGGACTCTGGTTTACAATAGATTTAAGTAACTTAGAGATTAAAGTCGCTATCATGGAAGAGGCAGAAGCTCCCCGGCTCTTTGAAGGGCAGCCTTAGCCCATGCTGATCCTCGGGCCGTCCTGATAAGGTAGGAGTTTGAACAGGACGCCTGCATGTGGTGTTGTTAGCTAAGTAGTAGGTTAATGGAAGGTGTGCTGGGGGGGGGGGGGGGTGTGAGGGTGTGTTGATGGCTCATTTACATCTCTTTCTGCCAAGGTACACACTTTGCCCTGGGCTAAGAGTACTAGCCGTAATGATAGTAGCTACACCTACCGCCTGCACGACCTCTGTGGTAGGGTCATTATCCCCATCTCACAGAGGAGGAAACAGAGGCCTTCAGAGATTGAATAACTTGTGCAAGACCCCACCTATAGTAGGGGCTGCACCGAGGGTCCCCAGGGTCAGCGGTGCCATGCTTCTGTCCCGCCTGGAGACTTGGGAGTGAGGACAGTGGTTGGAGGGAGGAGGACGGATGTCACGGCAGCCTGTGGACAGGAGGTTGAGGGAACTCACTCTTGGCTCCTTGGGTTTCGTTGACTGTTCCCAGTCGGGAGTGGTTGATGTCCAGGCTGTGACCTCTGAGGTTTGCACAGTGATTGATTCTTTTTGCAGTTTCAAGACTGACCCACAGCAGGTGCTCACAGTCACCCGGGGAGACCACCCAGGATTAATATCACCCAGCAGCCTGGTGTCCTTTGGACACTTGAACACACACACACACACACACACACACGCACACCTTGGCATCATTTGTCCTAGCTTTTGTTTGTTTCAGTGGCTGTCTTTCAGTTCAGTTGGACCCTGTGGGAATGACTTTTAGTTTGAAGTCGTAGGAATGAGGAGTAAATGATTCTCTGTGCTGGTTTAGAATTTCCTTTCTTCTTGTCCAAAAGGTGTAGGGTGACAGTGTGTCCCAGATTTTTTTGGACAGACCAAAGCTTGACGATTTTGCAGTGTTGTCCCAATCAAAATCAAAATCAGGGCAGAGGCGGGGCCTAGAAAACAAGTTCAGTCAAATTGTAACCAAAGCGAGGCCGTCATTTTACCATAACAATGTGCCTTAGCTCCACAGGTTCTGAAATTCACAGTTAGGCTTTGAAAAAATATGATCACTGTTGATGGAGGTGTAACAGTCTTTGGGGTCCTGGAATAGCAGGAAGAAAATGCTAAAATCAACCTACTCCTTGTGGGGGAGGAGGAGTGGCGGTAGGTGGGTATTGCCAGTGTGTGTGTGTGTGTAATTTTCCTAAATTCAAAGTGAAATTTACAATATATTTGGAAGAGATGAGAGTTAATTAACATGGGATAAATGTGCTAGCTGATGATGTTCCTTTTTTTTGGTTTTTTTTTTCAGGGAGCGAAATAGAGAGAGGCACAGATCACCCCGGAGCAAAGATGGCAGAGGATCCGAAAAGGCTGTCACCATCCAGGCGCCCCCCGGGGATCCCCTGCTGGGGAACGACTCCACGCGGACGGAGGAAGCTCAGGTGAGGGTCCAGGGTGGTCTGTAAGCACACGGCCCCTCCATCAAGGCTCTTTTCGGCAAATGTTTTCCTAAGTCTTGTAGCGGTAGGTTCTCTTGGGTTTTTGCCTTTATTTTTCTAGCATGTTAACTAGTTTATCTGTGTCCTGTGGTTTCTTGTTGGTCTTACGGGCAGCCCGTGCTGCCATTGGCCAGCTTGCGGGTGCTTCTGAAGTGTGGCTGGTGGGCCTGCTATGAGTCGTGTTGGAAAGAAGCCAGCTCGGCTGACACCAGGCAGAGGAGGGAGAAGTGTGGGCTCAGTGTCCGGAGACTCACTGCAAGTGGAACAGGATACAAGAAGAAAGGACCCTCCTTTCGGAAACCCCGAGTCATGTGGGGAGAAGAGCGGGCGGTTAGGGCAGCCCTGAGTGAGCATCACTCTTGGACGTGAAATCGATCGGGGGCCGCGTGCTTAGATGCGGGAAAGCACAGGTGGACGAAACCGGCCCTGGGACACACAAAAGGCCAAAGTGTGTCAGGCAGGTTGGGGATGGGCAGCAGTCTGTGGCTCGGCAGCGCCAGGGCCGTGCAGCGGGGAGGGGTCTGGGACACACGAGGATGCATTTGCTCCGTCGGAAGCAGCAGCTCCTATACCCAGACGCTTCTCACTGCTCAGGAGCGCAGGGGTTCTGCCTGTGGGCCTGGGACCTGCCATATTTAGGAAAGGCTGGAGATCAGGATTTTATGTGAACTCACTCAGTGTTTTAAGTACAGTGGCTTTTGAACTGTCGCGGGTCCACTTACACGCGGATCTTTTTCATTAAATAAGGACAGTCCTGGGAATGTGTTTTCTCATCCTTATGATTTTTTGAATAATATTTCCTCTAATTTCCTTTATTATTAGAAAACAGTATATGATACATATAACAAACAAAATGTGTCTTAATTCTTTGGGTTATTGGTAAGGCATCTGGTCAACAGTAGGCATTAGTAGTTTAGTTTGGGGGGAGTCAAAGTTATGTGCAGATTTCGACGGAGCCAGGGGGTCAGTGTCCCTGACCCCCACATTGTTCAAGGGACAACTGTTTTGGTAATTTATGAATTTTTATAAAACATTATGTGGGGTCTTCTCTCTGGGCCTCCACTCTCCAGCAGCCCATCTGACTTAAATAAACATCTGAGCTACACTCAGAAACATGTTTGCATACCCTCCCCAGCTCGGGAAATAGATGCTGTCCATCCTGGGCCCCAAATAACCTGGTGTGTGCACATACAGCTGTGTGGAGAAGTCTCTGTGTGCACGTGGAGTTACACAGATGTGCATTTCTGAGCAGATACCTGGGCTCCTCAGAGCAGACAGGGTGCCCTCGGGACCCAGAGCTGCAGCTGTGGGACGAGGGTGGTGTGTGTCCAGGATGAGTAATGTCTGTAGTCCTCACTCTCTCACTGCCCGCCGTGGCTCTGGGAGGGCCAGGGGGCTGGAGGGTCGGAGGGGTGGTTGGATGGATGGGGCCACTCCTGAGTGGACCCCCCTCGGTGCCACAGGGGATCCGTTCCCTTCTGGATGTGGATCCAGAGGTGCTGTTGGCCCGTGCGAAGGCACTTCTTCTTTGCAGCTTCTCTACGCCTTGTAGCTCCATTGGGAAGCTATTGGTGTTGACACCAGGATGATGCGATGGGAAATGCATTGGGAGGCTGTACTCAGCCGCTGTGTGACCTTGGTAGTCACCTCGGTGGGCCTCAGCTTCTTCACTGAAACTCTAGGAACATGGATTTGAGGGTCTTCGATCCTTTCTGTTCCAAGAACCTCAAACTTGAACCAGACAGCCCTTTAGCCATCTGTGTTTTTTAGGCTCAGATGTGCACACATTCTTAACATGGACAGGGATTTAGTTAGCGATGCTTTGGCAGGAAAAAAAAAAGGTGAGGAGCTAAATCAGAGAGTGTGGTGGCCAACGAAAGGACTGCAAGACGCTGGTCGTGGTTTCAGCATTGAGTGTCAACCGAAGACTAGGCCCCGTACACCGCGTGGAGTGGAGTCCCGCGGCGCCCTCACTAAGAGCATAGCCAGGTCAGTTATTTTAGGGAGCCCGTGAACTCACCCGGTGCGAAAGCAAGGTGCCATCTTTGAATTTTCCCCCCTGCTTGTGATTTTGTTCTTTTTTAAAAACTGAAATGAATTTACACACAGAGACATGAACAGACTACAGTGTACAGTTTGGTAAACTTTAAGAGCTGAATAAAACCCATATAACCCATACTCCTACCGATAAATATATTTCCATTGCTCTAGAACAGTGATGGCGAACCTTTTGAGCTCGGCGTGTCAGCATTTTGAAAAACCCTAACTTAACTCTGGTGCCGTGTCACATAGAGAAACTTTTTGATATCTGCAACCATAGTAAAACACAGACTTATATTTTTGATATTTATTTTATATATTTAAATGCCATTTAACAAAGAAAAATCAACCAAAAGAATGAGTTCGCGTGTCACCTCTGACATGCGTGTCATAGGTTCGCCATCACTGCTCTAGAAAGTTCTCTCATGTTCTTCCTCTCCCCCCCCCCCCCCAAGCCCGGCTTTGATTTCTGTCCCTGTCGATTCGTCTTGCCTGTTTTAGAATTTCATGTAATTGGAATCACATTCTTTTGATTCGGACTTTTTTTCACGCAGCATCATGATTGGAGATTTCTCCACGCTGCGGTGTGTTTCCGCGGTTCCCCCTTCAGGATTTTTGCTGAGTCGTGTCCCAGGGCACAAATGTCCCACAATTTGTTATGCGTTCTCCTGACCGACAGGCATTTGGGTTGCACCATTTTTGGGCTCCGGTGAATAAAACTGTGAAGGACATTCCCGTACAAGTCTTTTGTGGACATATGTTTTCCTTTTATTTTGATAAAAACCTGGAAGTGGAGCTGCTGGGCCATACAGTGCAGCATATATTTAAATGTATGTGGAAGCGCCAGGCTGGTTTTCAAGAGCGATTGTGCGCCTTATGCTTCCTCCAGCGATGTCTGAGAGTCCTGGGTGCTTCCTTGTCTTAAAAGGTCCCTTCCCTCATGGTGTGGGCTCCCGTCGCTTTCCAAACTGAGAAACTGTCTCCGCAGGCCGGGCCCTTCGCCCCGACCCCGCTCCTCGCCGTGGCCTGTGCATTTTGTGAATCCAGTTTCTCATCCTTACTAGGTCAGAGGTTATTGTTCAGTCCTGAGAGCTCTGTCTTGCTGATTCAGCTGTGAAACTAGATTTTTTGTTAAGTTGGTGTCTTACACATTAATTTCCCTCCGTCTGACCTTTTTCCCAGTTAAATCCCACACACGAATCCCTGAGGCCCACCCTCTGGACTCCATGTGGCTTTTCATTGCCTCCTTCTCTGTTGTTGCTTTTTGGGGTAGAGTCAGAGTTGCCAGCAAAATAGCAAAATTGTTTAAAATCCTGACAACTGGGTCTTGTTCAATGAAGACTCTTGGCTGTAACTAGAAACCACCTCTGAGTTAAAAAGAGAGAAAGCAAAAGGCAGACACGCCGTGAAGATCCTGGTACCCCCGGGCCCTGAGGTTCAGCTTGCCAGGGGAACGTGTGTCTTGGGAGGAGGTCTAGCTGCCCTGGCCAGAGTCGCTTGGATTTGCTTAGCTTGTTCCTTGAGAAGCGTTGCCAGGGGATGCTCGATGCTGGTGTTTATTAAATGGGCCTTGGAAACATCATGGAGCTCCAAAAACTGTGTGTCCTCGCTGCAGGTAAGCCTTGATCCGAGCAAGGAAAGTTCCCTTCGATGCCTTCCGCTGGGTGAGCTGCCGGAGGGCACTTCCAGAAGGTGGGCTTGTAGCCTTCGTGACCCAGGCATGAGTGGAGAACGGGAGGAGGGTGTTCTCCTTGTGCCACAGGTGGGCCCTCCTGTGTTAGTCTAACAAGCAATGGGATTGGTTAGTGCAGAACAGGTAGCCCCAGGCCCCTCCAAGCCTCTCAGGGGACTCCAACAGGGAGGGGGTGATAATCATGTCATAATGAGTCACCCAAACAAGCCAACAAAAAGGTCACATTACATTCTCTCTGTTTGTAAATAGATACAGTGCCTTTTGAGAAAGGTCAGTGGTGATTGTTAAAGTTTAAAAGTCCTGTATTGAACGCGTTAAGCTTCAGTGTTCTAGGAAGCCCAGGCGGGCGGGTGGGTTCTGCAGGTGGGACCTCCCGCCCACCCACCGTGTCCGCAGGTGGCCTTTGCGAATGACCCGCTGCGTGCGGCTCTGCATCCTGGCTGTTTTCTCCCGTCAGGATGACAACTGGGGGGAGACCACCACGGCCATCACCGGCACCTCGGAGCACAGCATCTCGCAGGAGGACATCGCCCGGATCAGCAAGGACCTGGAGGACAGCGTGGGGCTGGACTGCAGGCGCTACCTGGGCCTCACCGTGGCCGCGGCGCTCGGACTCCTAGTCTTCCTCACCCCCATCGCCTTCATCCTGCTGCCCCCCATCCTGTGGCGGGACCAGCTGGAGCCCTGCGGCACCATCTGCGAGGGACTCTTCATCTCCGTGGCCTTCAAACTCCTCATCCTGCTCATCGGGACCTGGGCCCTCTTCTTCCGCAAGCAGAGAGCCGACCTGCCCCGGGTGTTCGTGTTCCGGGCCCTCCTGTTGGTCCTCATCTTCCTCTTTGTGGTCTCCTATTGGCTCTTCTACGGGGTCCGCATTTTGGACTCCCGGGACCGGAATTACCAGGGCATCGTGCAATACGCGGTCTCGCTGGTGGATGCGCTGCTCTTCATCCATTACCTGGCCATCGTCCTGCTGGAGCTCAGGCAGCTGCAGCCCGTGTTCTCGCTGCAGGTGGTCCGCTCCACCGACGGCGAGTCCCGCTTCTACAGCGCGGGGCACCTCAGGTAAGGGGGGCGTCCGGGAGTCTTCAGCTACTGAGGGGCGATGACAGGTGCCAGGTGCCAGGACCCGGGCTGACTCTAACTCAGGTTTTGAGAAGAGCTGTGTGTGTGTGTGCGTGCGCTTGGTGTTCGTGGACATAGACTATCCTAACTTAGGGATTTGGGGGTGCAGTTGCTGGCTGTTACCCAGGTCAGAGTTTAGTTGGGCCTGGCCTCGATGTTGGTGGCACCTCCCAAAACTTTTGGCGAAAGGGAGAAAGGATGCCCAGTGAGGGCTGCTGACTTTGCCCCTGAACTTGGTCTGTGTGTGATGGACCTTATAAGTGATCAGCAGTTCCGTTTGCTCAGAGTGGCACACCTGGTTTACCCTGTCATCCCAGTGGGTTTACCAATCGTTCCTGTTCTGCCCACTCTCAGAGGTGCCCTGGTTTGGGCAATAAATTACAAGGTCACCCCGGCGACCCTCCAGTCACGAATCAGTGCAGCGAAGGGACCTCAGGGTTGGGTGTTCGAAGGTGCATTCGTGAGAACAAGTTAGAAATACAGGGAGATGTCATGCTCTAAATCTGTACGTTCTACCTAATTATCGTGTGGTTAACGAAAAGAGCAATAACCATCCTTCATTTACTTAATTTTATTTTTATTCATCCCAAGGTAAGCGTTTTATGTAAATTGCCCTGGTTAGTCTTCAATTTAAGTATTATTAATCTCTGTTACCGATGAGGAAAGGAGCATTTAGGGAATTTAAGTAATTTGTACAAAATAATATGGCTGTGGTTGTGGATTCGCCCACATGTCCTGACGCAGGGCCCGGGTTAATGTCCGCAGGACGAGCATAAGAGCGATTGTGCGCAGGGTGTAGACCTGGGTGGGAGGGGCTGGACTGATTGAGCCCCCTCTGTGTTTACTGGCCTATTTTCCCGTCTGTTTCCTTCCACAAACCATGACTCCCCGGGCTGGGGGCTGTGTCTCACTGCATCCTCGGCACCTGGCCTGGAGCACGGCACGCTGCTGGCAGTCACATGGTTACACGCTGGAGGAATCCCGCGGGCTGTCTGGCTTTGCCGATGCGTGTAACCTGCTTGGCACCTGGTCGTCACGTTAATTGTAGCCGTCAGTGCTGCGGTGCCGTAGCTGCCAAAAGGCACCTCAGTGGGTATCAGACCAAGGGGCTTGGCCATGTTTCTGGCCGGGGCCCAAGTACGTCACCCTGGAGTCGGGTCACCCTGCCCACCCCCCTCAGTGCCGGCACGCACCCGCTCGCACTCCTCGGGCCCAGCCTGCACACCCTGGACCGGGTGGCTTAGGGTTCAAGGCCGCGCCACCCTGACCTGTCGCAGGGAAGCAGTTTCCGATCCACGTGTCTGTGCAGTAAACCTGCATTTCGAGTCCTCTCGGGTGCCTGGGGGCTCTGAAGGGAAGTAAGACCTGCAGCGTGTTCATCGCAGACACCTCACTATCCCCGTGTTTCACGTTGGGCGCGAGCAGACTTGTTTACACCCCTGTGCTGGGCAGAGCCCAGGCCTGGGCCCCGAGACCCAGGACGCTGCCCTCAGAGCGCTGTTCCGGAACTGCTGGGCTCCCGTCCCCCGGGAGCGGTGGACAGTTGCTGGCTCAGGCCTGGGCCGGGTGATGGGAGCACAGGGCGGGCGAGGGCATTCCAGGCGGGGGCAGCAGCCAAGCCGCGGGGAGCAGTCTGCCTCAGGACGGGACAGGCTTGGAGGCAGCTGAGGGGCGAGAGGGTCCCGGGCTGGTCCCAGTAGAGGTGAGTGATTGGGGACTTTGTAAATACAAGCGGCCGAGACGCTGGTAGGGAGGCCCGCTGGGGTTTTGTGTTTTGGCCCCAGCCCTGCCTCGTTGGTGTGAATCCCACCTGCGGAGGGAGAAAGGGAAGGGAGGCTTCTCACCTTAGGAAGTCGGGTGGTGGGGTACCTCTCCTCGAGGGCTCCCCATCACTCCTCCTAAGGCTGCATAGTGTCAGGGAGGGGACCAGCAGAACAGCCCAGGGCAGTGTGCCTGTGAGTGTTCGGAAGTTGACAATAGTCCTGGTACTGCGCCCAGAGCCCTGCGGGGGTAGACCTGGGTGGGAGGGGCTGGACTGATTGCGCCGTGGGGCCCGCAGGCTGGCCACCAACCTCTCCCGGTGTCCTCACCATGACCAGCAAACCAGCAACCTCCCGTCTGTACTGCTGACCCTGAAGCATTAACCCCAGGCAGACGCGGGAGCTCTGGTTCCCAGCAGCCCCGGGAGGCCAGGGCCAGGTGGTCCCAGGATCTCCTCGCGGCTCCTCTCCAGGGCCCTTCGTTTTCCTCTCCCTCCCTCCTGTGGAGACCCTGGTTATGGGGCAGGAAGAAGGCTGGAGGAGGGGAGACCCTTTATCACAAGTAGAGCCCTGGGGCCGAGCTTGCAGCCCTGGGGCCAGTCAGGAGCTGGGGCAGCCTGGCATCTCCCTGCAGGCACTGCGTGGGCTCGGTCACCCGCCGATCCTCAGGCTAAATCTGGCCCAACCCAGCAGTGGCTGGAAGAGTCGCTGTACCAGAAATACAACTTCTAAGCCCTTTGTAAAGCGTAGAAACCGGGGAGGGGGTCAGAACAGACAAGAGGGAGTCCTGGGGTCCCAGCAGCCGGTCCTCCGCCCCCACGGGCATCACAGGCCTGCGTGCGCCTTTGTGCCCGTCTGTCTTCCACAGCAGCAACCCGTGGGCCGGGGTGCAGGCAGCGGTCGGGTCTTTTTTTGTTTTGTTTCCAAAGAGGATTCTATTGAATGGACTGAGCTATTTTCGAGAGTTGTCTGAGGAGCGCCGATTCTTCAGTTTCTTAGAGAAAATCTGCTTCTTGTTAGCGCTCATGAAAGGTCCTTGCAGGGGCCCTGCTGGCCGGCAGGAACGGAGTCCTGGCTGATTTGAAATGTTCGGAAATGGAAAAGGTCATTGCACAAAGTGAGATACTGTAAGAAGAGAGAGACTTCCTGACCTCTGCCCAGCGCCTTAGGGATGTTCGATCTCATTTACTCCTCCTGCCCCCAGGGGTGGAGCTGGTGGTGGGTGCGGCCAGCCGGGGGTGGGGGTGGGGGGTTGGGGGGGGGGACCGGGTAATGGGAACCCTGTTCAGGGGAGGGTCCCCAAGCCAAAGGCTAAGGGCCTGGATGACACGCCCTGCCCCTTGCTCTCCTCAGCACCCCCGCGTCTCAGCCTCAGCGTGTTTGCTTTGTAATTGTGCACACACGTCAGTTGTCACTTCTCTTGGTTCCCTTCTCACAGTGAGTTGCTAACTTTTCTAAGACTTCACCAAAGACTATTGAGTTTGGATCTGACTCTTTTGGGGAGAAATCTAGAAGAAAAGAGACTAAAAATGGCCTTTAATTATCCTGATTGATAATTTCTCCGTTTTGAAATCTTTAAAGGTTAATGCTGTGACTACTGGAGCGTAGAAGCTAAGAGTAACAGACTGAATCTGAGATGTAGGACAACCCTAACCGTTACCTAGTCCTTACCACCTGCCGAGCACCTTCTAACCTCTTAACATTAACTCACTTAATCCTGAGAGCCCCTGTGGGCCCGCACTGTTAGCCTCATTCTGAGGCACCGAAGAGTTGAGTAGGTTGTCGGTGGCCATGCAATTCGTGGATGTCGGAGCCAGGATTGGAACCCAGACTGCTTGGTTCCAGAGCAATCTTAACTGTTTCACCACAGTGCCTCCGAACGGGTATGTCCGTGCTCCCGTCACTGCTTTAAGAGTGCATGAAGAGCCCTAACCAGTTTGGCTCAGTGGATAGAGCATAGGCCTGTGGACTGAAGGGTCCCGGGTTTGATTCCGGTCAAGGCCATGTACCTTGGTTGCTGGCACATCCCCAGTGGGGATGTGCAGGAGGCAGCTGATCGATGTTTCTCTCTCATCGATGTTTCTAGCTCTCTATCCCTCTCCCTTCCTCTCTGTAAAAAAATCAATAAAATATATTTTTAAAAAAAGAGTGCACGCAGGGCCCTGGCCGGGGAGCTCAGTTGGTTAGTGTCGTCCCGATAGGCCAAGGTTGGGGGTTTGATCCCGGTCAGGCACATACAAGAATCAACCAGTGAATGTACCCTAAGTGGAACACCAGATCCATGTTTCTCTCCCCTCTCTCCCCCGCCTCCCCTTTTCTTTCTCCCTCTCAAATCAATTTTTAAACCGTGCACGGAGGAACTCATAAGCATTTTTGAGTGCTTCCCAAGCGCCAGGCTGGATGCTACTTTTTACACATTATTCTGCTTCGTTTAACTCGTCGCTTTGGGGCTGGGGCGGAGAGAACGGGATTGTCAGAGACGCGGCCTTGCGCTCTGCATCGGTACTAGCCCACTGGTTCTTTTATCCAGTCGGTGCGCAAACAGGCCCGGGCCTGACAACCACGGCAGTAAGGTTGAGCCTTTGTCTGGTCCAGGCTCTTTAGCTTTCTATATGTCCCTTGTCCCAAAGAAGACCTCTTTTTACCTATTGCTGTAGAAAACCACCCAGAACCTAGTTGTGGAGAGCAGCCTTTCATGGTTTTATTATGATTTCTCCCCGTTCCGTGGGCTGGGCTCTGGGCGAGGGCCTTCAGTTGGCCTGGCCGGTGGTCCCTGTGAGCTTGCGGGCCTGGGGCGGCGGCCGGGCTGGGCTTCTCTCCCTTCCCAGAGGCACCCCTTTGGGGAGTAGTTCCTGTGAGGGCAGCTGCACTGCTCTGGGCTCCCAAGAGCACAAAGCAGGCGCTCCCGGCCTTTTAGGGCTCAGCCCTGGACCTGGCCCAGCACGACTTGCCCTGAATTCTCTTGTCAAAGCAAGTCCGAGCCCCAGCCCAGATGTAAGGAGAGGACTGTGCGAGGTGGGGAGTCCTGGGAGGGCTGGTTCCTTGGGGTCCACAGCCGCCTCGGGCCCTCATTCTCAGCGTTTGTGTGTTTCTTTTTTAAAAATACGTTTTTACTTATTTCAGTGAGAGGAAGGGACAGGGAGAGAGAGATAGAAACATCGTTGGTGGGAGAGAATCATT